GTCCTAGCACCAGAACACTGCGGACTTACTAGGATCCCTGCCAGGAGGGGGCTTCTTGTGTGTGCCTGAGTGTGAAGCCTTTCAACACGCTCCAGGGCATAAGTCCTCGTGACTGTTTGTCTATCCATCCAAGAGACAAGCATCTGCTATTGTCAGAAACTGTCCCTGGCATTAGACATTCAGAAAGGAGTGAGAAATAATCTTGTCCCCACTGAGTCCACAGGGCCCAGGAAAAGACTCAAAACAAGTCACAGCAAAACGTGCCAAGAGCTCCACCTAGGGACGCACTGGAGGAATAGCAGCAGCAGACGCCCGGCACTTAGAACAGAATGGCAGTAAAGAGGACACTCCACGCAGACTGAGAACGGCCTCACTGGTAGCTTTCTGTGGCCATAGCCCCGGTGCACAAGGCGACATGAGTCTGGACCTGGAGGCTGTGGCAGACCAACCTCCAGCTATGGGACTATGGAGTTCATCCTGAGCCCAATGGAGAGTGGCTAATGAGGAGGACGGGATTTGGGCTTCCTAAAGTACGCTCCGGCCGCAGAGTGAGGGAGCAGTGAGGACACTGTGCTCTGTGTTCAGCCCTCACTCTATTATTGCAAGCTCAGGCCTCTGGCTGCTGAGGTTACTTATTCCCTGGCCCAGACTCTGGGACACCACGAGGCATCTTATATAGTGAACACAGTGAGATGAGGCAGCCTGGGGCAAGCAGGCCTCCCAGGAGACATCTGCTCTGGCTTTAGGTCCCTGTGAGTGGTGGGGCTGGGAGTGGGGAGGCCGGGCCCCGCGTGGGCACTCAGTCTGCCCTAACAGAATGTGCTGCCGCAGCAGGGACATGGCCTGCACTCCATTCAGGGACGGCTGCCAGGGGCCCCCTGATTCCTCAGGCTGCTCAGTCCCTGCAGGGCAGCAACAGGGGGATGAGAACAGGGACAAGACTCATTTTTGGTGCTGGTGGACGGTCCAAACACCTCCTGCAGCCTCCTGGCTCACCTGCCACCCTTCCCTGAGTCTCCTCGTAGACTACTGGCTTTACAGTTGTGAAGGCAACAGCAAAGTCAATTAGAGAGGCTGGGAAGCAGGGGCCCCGAAGGTTTTTGTTTTTGTTTTTTTTTAAGGACAAGGGAAAATAACTCTTTGACCAGACCAGAGTTTGATTGGATTAAAAAAGTGTATTGGATTTCCAATACTAAATAAAAACATGAAATCGTTTTTAAAAAGCCATAGAGTTTACAGCATCAACTACAGAAAAGGCCAAACAAGTGTGTACAGACGCCAGTCCCAGCAGCCCTCTGCGCCCCTCCCGCAGGCAGTGCGGCGACAGACACAGGCGTTCCACATCCCCCGAGGAAGCCGCTGAGCAGCAGCTCAACTAGGACACTACAGACACGCAATGGTTTAGTTTCAAAAATCACAGGAAAACGTAAGAAAATGTATTAAATTGTGAAAAGGTGCAATACAGAATAGCTTTCCTTTTTCTTAATTTTTAAAAAAACCCCTCAACTTTGAACAGTTATTTTATTTAAAAATAGGCCCCTCCCCCACCCGCCCCAATTCTGTGGCAGTATCCAGGTACCAAGGCCCTGAGGTAACAGAAGGTCAGGGTTCGTGGGACGAAATGCCCCAAATACTGAGCATGTTCTTTGGGCACAAGGTAGTTTCTGGGGAACCTGGCCCTCCTGGTGGCCAGAGTGCTTGGACAGCTCTCTTCAAGATCAGTTTAAGTGCACTGGTTTTCCAGAGTCCCGCCTGGCACCCCCACGTGATCAGCTAGCTCGGCAGCAGGAGCTCCCGCATTGCACCTTTCACTGCCCTCCAAATCATAAATACAGAGTTCATCTTGTGAAAAAGCAAATATGTGGTAAGATCCAAAAGTGGGAAATCCCCAAGTTCAAAGGCAGGTGACCTAGGGTACCCACTGGTGGTTTCAGCAGCTGATCTCTTCTTGGCTATAGAACTGAAGCCCGATTTACTGTCTACACTGCCTTCCACACTGTCTTCTGGAGATCTGTTGGGGAGTAGAGGAAGATGCCTGAGCATCAGTCCTGTGTTTTCCATGATATATTCTTAATATTAAAAAACCACACAGCTCAGCTCCTTACCTCTTTAGGAAAAAGAACCCAAGAACTATGTGCAAAGGCAACGGCTTCCAAGTGTGGCTGAGCCGTTGGGTTCACCTCAGGAAACTCCTGTGGCTTCATTCTCATCAGGGCTTAGCTGAGCTGCTGGGACAGGGGAGCGGGCAGCTGCTTCCGCTGTCTCTGTCCCTTGTTACTTGAAAAATAATATTCAGAAAGATGTGTGGAAGCCTCAGGGGGCACTGCAGCTCTGCCTTGTCTCATTCCTCCTGCTAATGCTTTCTCGGAAGGGGTCTGAAATGTGGAAGAGAGCGCTGGACTGGTTGAAGACTGGAACTAGAGAGGAGGAGGAGTCTTATGTGGAAACAAAGTTCCTTCCTTAACCTCCAACTTCCTCAAAGAGAGCCAATAATAGCAGCAGGAAAGGTCTCCATCCTTGCTTTCTGATTTACAGAATAGGGTCAGGCTCTTACCCTATTCTGTGTGACTCAGGCAATTAGAAATACAACACCTGTCTCCTCAGCATGGACATTCTTACCAGGCTATGACCAAGACATCAGGGCCGCTAAATCCTCAAACCCACCTATTGCACAGAAGAATTTTAAAACCAGATCCAAATCAAACTCCAGTTGCAATGTAGTGACAATAAGGATGGACATGCCAGGAAACGACAATAAAGAAGATGCTTCCATTCTCTGCAGGCTTCTGGAAGAAAGTACAATGACGGAAACATTCACAGGACCTCAGCAGCCCCTCCATGTCCTATTACCAACCCTCAGCCCCCCACCCCGCCCCAATACTGAAACTGCACAGAAAGCAACAAACAAGTCTTTTCAATGTTACATTTCATTCAATTCAAATAGATCTGTAATCTCACAGTGATGAGAGGAAAAGAGTCAGGCCTTTAATAATTATAATAAAAAAATAATAAAAAAGCTTACAAACAGCAATGCAACATTTCCTCCCCCTCAGAGTGATGGATGAACAGCTGGTAGAGGATGCAATGACTCAGAATTAAAAAATAAAAACAAAACCAAAAAACAAGCCAACCCCAGGAACAACCCACACTGTCAATGACTTTCCATACATAATTGGAACAAGCAGTCAAATGTCAACCACTTGTGGAGAACACCACGGACTTCCTCGGTTTTGGATGGCGTTTTTGTTTTTGAAGGTAAAATAAAATAAGACACAAATAAAATTGTACATAAATGCCAATGTCTACACTCCATAAAGGTGATGCAGTCGCAGCACGAAGACACAGCCTGACCACAAAGTGAAATGCAGGTTGCACTTCTCGCTTCTTCCCTGGACACAAAATTTTGGCCCATGATGCCCAGTCCTGCAGAATATCAGCAGGCAAAGGGAAGCTGCCTCAACACAGGCTTCTTCCAGGCTGACCAGGGGAAGGCAGGTGGCCATGCCTGGAGCCAGCCCTACACAGAGGCGCTGGCCAGTCTGCTGGCTCATTCTGTGTTCTCAAGTGCTGTCCTCTCGTACTCTGTACAATTCCTTGTTTTCAAGGGTAAGTTCCAAGACTTCCAGACTCAGGTTTGAAGTCATGTCCTGGTGAAGGTCGTCATGCTGTCGTGATAGCGTTTAGGTCCTTCATTAGTCCTTCCAGGTGGGCCATCTCTTTGGTCAGCTCATCTGGTTCATAGCTCTATGGAAAAGAAAACACTGTTACTGGGCCAGATCCAGGGAGCAAACCAGAAAGGAGAGCCCAGAGAGAGGCCAAAGCATCACGTGGTCAGTAGTCACATGGTCCCAGAAAATGGGCTACTAACACGCAGGGTGGCTCAAAAGAGTGGAAAGTAGCAGGAGAGACCCAAGGTCACTGGGATCCCGTTTCCTGATAATGCACAATGTCTTTCTCCCAACACACACTCCCCAGGGTCACAATGACCTCACAAGCCAGAAGGCCTGCTGCTTGCCCCTTCTAGGTCTCTGCCCCAGTCAGCACAGTCGGTATGTCCCTGGATCTCTGGGCCCCAAGCTTTCCGCTTAGAGAATCCTATACCTGGAAATTCAGAGGCAAAACATTTTTACTGGAGTTTGAGAGTGAAAGATCAAAGAGAGACCCTGGTGATTTTTGTTTTGACAGCAACCACTCAAGCACCTTCTCTTCCAGTATCTTGCTCAGGAAAGGTCACAGAGTAGAACTGAGGGAACTTATGAATGGTTCAAACCAAGAAAAGAAGAACAATGAGAGAAGGGACAGAACTAAAAGGCAGGCAGGAAGTGGGGGGAGGGGCCATTAGCTGGGGCTGTGTGAAAAGCTAATTTAAGACGTTCAAGAGTGGATATGGGGGCCGGGTGCGGTGGCTCACGCCTGTCATCGCAGCACTCTGGGAGGCCAAGGCAGGTGGATCACCTGAGGTCGGGAATTTAAGACCAGCCTGGCCGACATAGTGAAACGCCGTCTGTACTAAAAATACAAAAAAATAGCCGGGCGTGGTGGCGGGCGCCTGTAGTTCCAGCTACTCAGGAGGCTGAGGCAGGAGAATCCCTTGAACCCGGGAGACAGAGGTTGCAGTGAGCTGAGATCGTGCCACTGTATTCCAGCCCAGGCGACAGAGCAAGACTCTCTCTCAAAAAAAAAAAAAACCAAAAAAACAAAAAAAAAACAGTGGTTATGGGAAAGAAAGTAGACCAAATCCTCAGCATAGTTCCTGGCTCAGAAAAGATGCTCAACACTGTTTCTACTGAATGAATGAGTGCATCTGCTTCATAGTTCTGGGTGGCGAGCCTGGTATGTACAGAATATCAGCTTGACCAGCAGTCTCAGGCCCTGGGGCATGTTCCCAGACAATCTGGCTGGACTGATGGCCTCACGAACTTACACTCTCGGAGTCTTCCAACATCCTTGTGGTCTCCTGCACTTCAGGGGCACTGGGAACAACCACTGGCATAGGAGGCCGGCTCCTTCCTAGAGTCCCGATGGAGGCTGTCTTCACTGAGTGAATGTGATGGTTCAGAGCTGAGGGGAAAGGGCACCGTCAGGTATGTGGCCAAGCCTGCCTCCCCTAGACCTCATGAAGGCCCTAAGGTCCAAGTGCTGCTTCAGGGTGAGAGAGACACACAGACCCACTGCGCGGGTATTGCTCTGAAAAGTTACTGGAACAAGAGGGAAGGAGGGAGATAGCAGGGCATTCATGAGGCCAGAGAAAATATTCCACTGGCTCTAGAAAACCAATATCCTAGTCCAGTGGTTCTCTAAGCGTGGTGGTCCACGAACCCTTGCAGGATATCTGGGAGGCCAAAGCTCTCTGCATAATAAGACATTATTTGCCTTTCCACTGTGTTTGCCTTTGCACTGAGGACACAAAGGCAATAGTGGGTGAGCTGCTGGAGGCTTAGTACAAATTAAGGCAGTGGTGCCAAACTGTAAAGCCATTCACTGACATGCACTTGCAGTTTAAAAAAGCCAGTTTCACTAAGAACCATTGTTAATAAAGGAGTAAATATATATTTTTAACTACATCTTGACCTTACTGTATGTGACAAAATGGAAAGTATGCATGAAGTACTTCAGCTGTGTACAAAGTATGACAGCTATCTTTTTTTTTTGAGACGCAGTATCTCCTTATTGCCCAGGCTGGAGGGCAGTGGAGTGACCTTGGCTCACTGCAACCTCCGCCTCCTGGGTTCAAGTGATTCTCCTGCCTCAGCCTCCCGAGCAGCTGGGATTACAGGCATCTGCTACCACGCCCGCTAATTTTTTGTATTTTTAGTAGAGAAGGGGTTTCACCATGGTGGCCATGCTGGTCTTGAACTCCTGGCCTCAGGTGATCCACCTGCCTCGGCCTCCCGAAGTGCTGGGATTACAAGCGTGAGCCACCGCGCCCGGCCAACAGCTGTCTTAAATAAAGGCACTTGTGATAGTTTGAGTTTTGAGTTGAATGTTTTTATCATGGAATATCACTGTTAGTTCAAAGACAGACAAACTGATTCTTGAGACATCTTTTAGAAAATGAACAAAGTGAGCCTGTCAATTCAAGGCACACAATGGATAGTGTTTCCTGCCAATGATAAAATTTAAGTTTTAAGTAAAAATGAACATTTTGGAAAACTTGCATCTGCCACCATGGTCTTGAGAACTTAATACTTACACATTTTGATGATATTAATGAATATGTTTTTAGATACTGAATGAAATGTATCACTATTTGCAGAATTTGTATAATGTAGTGAACCAATATTTTCTAAATGACTGACATGTGATGTTTTAGTATGGTGCATTAAATGCAAGACAGATGAATGAATTTTAATGGAATAAAGTATAAATAGTTCATAGATAAGGTTTCAGATTTCACTTTACAAACAAACCTTTAAAAAACTACAACTTGTTGAGTTTTGCTGTAGTATCAAAAAAGAATATCCACAATTATCTGAAAAGGTTATAAAAATACTCTTTCCTTTTCCAATTACATATCTGTTAGACCAGATTTTCTTCTTATATTTCAACCAAAACACCATATTGCAACAGATTGAATGCAGAAGCAGATAGGAAAATCCAGCTGTCTTTTATTAAGCCAGACATTAAAGAGATTTGCAAAAAAAAAAAACGACTCTTCTCACTATATTTTTGTTTTGAAAATAGTTGCTTTTCAGCCGGGCATGGTGGCTCATGCCTGCATTCTCAGCACTTTGGGAGGCCGAGGCAGGTGGATCATGAGGTCAGGAGATCAAGACCATCCTGGCTAAGGCAGTGAAACCCCATCTCTACTAAATATACAAAAAATTAGCTGGGCATGGTGGTGGGCACCTGTAGTCTCAGCTGCTTGCAAGGCTGAGGCAGAAGAATGGCGTGAACCTGGGAGGTGGAGCTTGCAGTGGGCCGAGATTGCACCACTGCACTCCAGCCTGGGTGACAGAGTGAGACTCCGTCCCAAATAAAAAATAAAAAAAAAAGGAAAATAGTTTTTCATAAAAACATGCTGGTTATCCTAACATGATAGATAATTGCTTTTTTAAATGAATAAAATACTTCAAAAATTTCTTAGCTTTAATTTGAATACGGTAAATAGTGATAGATATAACCCACATGAAGAAAAGCTCTTTTATATGCTCAATAGCTTTTAAGCTATAAAGGGGCACTGAGACCAGAAATTGTGAAAATCACTGACTTATTCTAAAACAAATGAATAGGTAACAATTAAGTGCAGAAAGCAAGCATGCCTTTGAGGTCAGGGGACTGTTACTGAGCTGTGTGGATTTGGGTAAATGACTTTCCCTTCACAGGGTTCCTTTCCCTATCCTGAGGTTCCCTCTGCTTTCACCACCCTATGAGTCCAAGCCTTGGCCTCCCTGATCCTTTCTCTAGTTTGCAGGGACCTTATGAAGTGAGGTGATCCCAGGGGGCTGGGCAGACTAGATCTGCTATCCATTCCCATGCCACTGGACTTACCACCAAAGGTGCTGCACATCAAACCCAATTCAAAAGGTCAGCCCACAAACTTCTTGGGTGGGGCAGTGGCACACTGCTACTCTAACTGAATTGCTGGGATAGGCTTGGAGGGTATTTGCTTTGCTATACTTCAAGGAAGGGGTGACTTTATCCAAGCTTGAGTCAAAGGGTCCCTCCAGGTATGCTGCCATCCTCACTCACCTTGCTGGGATAGTAATGGTGTGCTTGGCAATGCAGGATCATAGGTGGGAGGTCCTGGAGGCGGGACTGCCGGCACGGCGAAGCTCTTCAATGGGTGGGAAGGGCGAACATGGGCAGTGGGAAGACTCTGGCCTGAATCTTCCTCTTGGGAGCTGGCCAAGTAAGAGGAGCTGGTAGCACCTTCAGGGTCCTGGTGATCAGTGCAGCATGTTTGAGACGAGGAGGCTGGCATGGTGTCAGTGCTGGGGGTATTTCGAACGGATTCTACAGCAAGAAAGTCTAAATGTTAGTATTTCTTTTGCCATTAAATATGTGAAAGTCCCAGAGTTTGGCTACTTCTAGGGGTTCCCTAAAGCAGCTCAATAGCACTTGTGATCAGTGCTAGTCCAAGAGAACATGGATTAGCACCACTGCCAGGGATAAGAATGGAGTCTCGAACAATTTTGCACTCAACCAGCTATTCCAGTTTTTCACCTCACAGCTAAGTGGTCACAATTTTATAGATTTAAAGTTCTTCTCATTATTTACTATGGAGCACATGTAAAGGTTCCTGAGATGACTAAGATATTAAGATATAAATAAGTATAAAAGAAAATTAAAAACTTCACTCGCTGGAATCTTAAGAGAGTGGCCTTTCATAGACAACCATGGCTAATCACCAAGGCTGGCTGGGTACCTGACAGTAGCCAGCTCTACTGACAAGGCCTGGCGGTCACTGCAGGAGAGGCCAATGCCACAGGCCTTCATGCCTCCAGGGGCTGTGCATGGCCTCATCACAGCAAAAAACCCATAGCTCAAGTGAGAACCGGGCAACGAACAGAGCAGCCCAGAGGTCTGCACACAGCTTTCAGATCATGCCAAATGAAGGGCATTTTTGATTCAGAGAAAGAAATGGGGATAGATTAGCCTGGAGAAGGGAAGGCTCAGGAAGAACATGATAACAATCTCAAAATATAAGAAGGGGCAGTTCTTCTGGAAGGCAGCACAGCAGGGTAGAAAAGCGCGGACTCTGGAATCAGACAGATCTGGACTCTAATCTTTGCATACTAGCTGGGTGAATTTGACAAAGTCACTGAGTATATCTGAGTCTCAGTTTCTTCATCTACAAAAGAGGGAGAATAACACATAATTCTTTGAGGATTAAATGAGATGTATGAAAAGTGCTGAACACGGTGCTTGAATATCTGAAAATATTCTTTTCTTTGTAAATTACTGGGTGCTTACTTTAAGCCAGGCACTATGCTAGCTGCTTTACATTCATTAACTCACTCGATGCTCAAAGTAACTCAGAAGGCACTGGGAGGTTAAGCAAATTGCCCATTTGCACAGTTAGAACTAGCAGGGTGGAATCTGAATCCCTGCCTTCTGACTTCCACACACATGCTCTGGACCACCACACACCTTTCCACACACAGAGTACCACCTGCCCCTACCCTGTGGGGCAGAAGCAGCACCAAGGCCCGAGGAGACCACATGAGGAAGACCCTTCCAACAGCGTGAGCTGGTGACCACCTTCCCCACCCGTGAGGAGAGGCACAGAGGACACAGCTCAGGACAATGAACTGTACCAGGTAGCCTGAAGGCCTCTTCTGACTTCTGGAGTTCTCAACCTTAGCAAGTACAGTAGTCCCCCTTATCCACGCTTTTGCTTTCAATGGTTTCAATTATCTGTGGCCAACTGCTGTCCAAAAATGTAAATGAAAAATTCCAGAAATAAATAATTCATAAGCTTTACAATGTGCACCACTGAGTAGTATGATGAAATCTTGCGCCATTCCACTGGGGATGTGCATTATCCCTTAGTCCAGCCTCTCCAGACTGCCTATGCTACCTGCCCTTGAGTCACTTAGCAGCTGTCTCAGTTATCAGGTAGAGAAAGCAGATATAAAGGGTTCAGTACTACATGTGATTTCAGGCCTCCACTGGGCGGGGGGGAGGGCGGATCTTGAAATGTATCCCCACAGATGGGGATACTGTAAAGCATGAGCAATCTGCAGAAATCCAACACATTTCCCTGTCTTTGTTGCTGAGGTAGCAGTGAATCTGTACCCTCGGGCTCTGAGAAGTCAGGCCATACCAGTCATGAGTGGCACCTCTGATCTTGGGTCCACGAATGAGGGACTCATACACCCTCCCAAGTGTGCCTGACTGTGTTGACCCTACCAGGCTTAGGCCACTCCTCATCCCTTAAAGGGGTGTGCTGAGGATCTCTTCTTAGGCTTGCTCAAGTTACCCATCCCCAGGGTGGGGGAGCTGGTGGTCCCCCTGTGATCCTGGGTGGGGTAGAAGCTGGGCAGGGTAGAAGCTGGCTAGCAAGGGTAGGAGGGAGGAGGAGAGAGAAGAGTAAACTCATGTCCAGACCATGTCAGCCTGTATTGGCAGGTATGTTAGATCAGCTCTGGGCAAACAGGCCTCTCCTGACTGCCTCAATGGTCTGTAACTAGATATATAAGCTTCTGAGGGCCAAAGAGATGGTGCAAAAGGTGAAAAAGGAAAATGGGGTTGCCTATATGAGTCAGCACCCTGGCCTGCTACCACAGACCAGGGCTGCCTTTTACAACTCCAGGAGCCCCAGGCATGTTGCTTTCTACACGAAGGGTGCTCCCTGACACTGTGCAAAATCACTGGCCTGCTCAGAATCCATGCTGTAAGTAAAATTCCTGCTTTGGCAAGGGGCCTACTTCGTGACTGACTTGCCTCTTAAAGAGTTAAGACACACAGAGTTCACACTGGCCAAGTGACTGGACAAGAGGAAAGTGCTTTTCCAATGCCAAGTGGTGGTGACATAGTGAATGTTCCTTAGAGCAGAGGCTGGCCCTGCCTAGCCCACATATACCAAGCTGTGGCAACACTCTGAGCTCCAGACACAAAAGCTTAAAAAAGTGCAATAGTGAAAAAGAACTTTGATCATTTCTGGATACTTGCTCTACATTTCAAACCAGTCTTCAGCGAGTCTATCACTTTAGTTTTACCTTCCTTTATGCAACTGGTCATCAAAGCATGGACTCTCTTAGTAATGCAAATTATTCTTTCCCCCTCTCTTCACTTTCTGCCTAGGTCCATAGAGAAGGGAATGCTTACCAACACTAAATCACAAGGGAGAGGGCTGGGTAGGAGCTGCCATGCTCCTCTCCAATCCCCAAACCCAGCAGGAAGGAGGAGGGCCTGATTTGATTGGAAGGTGCCTGCCATCCACTCAAGCAGGACCACATCCTAGCGTGTGAGATTCCTTGGCCTTAAAAATGGAGAAACAGGGTTGGGCACAAAACCTCCTTTCTAAGAGCGGTGTGGCGGCTGCTTTCTGGTCCTCTGTTCTACTTGAGACTATGTCTGTAAGGCAGACTTTGGCTCTCCATGCAGCTGGCTGGAGTAACTGTCTATCTTGTAAACCATCTTTCCTAAATGCAGGACTTCAAATTGGGATTTGGAAGGAGATAGTAGAAAGGTCAAATATATATATATATATAAAAATAATATTTAATATTTAGTGGAGACGGGGTCTTGCCTTGTTGCCCAGGTTGGTCATGGACTCAAGCGATCCTCCTGCCTCAGTTGCCCAAAGTGCTAGAATTACAGACATGAGCCACAGTGCTCAGCCTGGAAGGCCAAATTTAGATGTGAGTTCAAGCAGCATTCTCCAAATCAGGTAATAGCTTTGGGAGTCGATAATGTCAGGAATTATTACACACCCCTTAATAAAGCTTCATTTGATGTTTTGGGTATGTTTATGATTGATAAAAACTTGAAAGAATGGGGACCGGGTGTGGTGGCTCATGTCTGTAATTTCAGCACTTTGGGAGGCCAAGGCAGGCGGATCACTTGAGGTCAGGAGTTTGAGACCAGTCTGGCCAACATGGGGAAACCTCGTCTCTACTAAGAATACAAAAATCAGCCAGGCGTTGTGGCGTTTGTCTGTAATCCCAGCTAGTTGGGAGGTTGAGGCAGGAGAACTGTTTGAACCCATGAGGTGGAAGTTGCAGTGAGCCGAGATCGCGCCACTGCACTCCAGCCTGGGCGACAGAGTGAGACTCTGTTTCAAAAACAAACAAAAAAACCAAAGAGAAACAAAAAACTTAAAAAAATGGGGATATTACTAGGAACCCAAACTTCCAGCATAAAGTTTTGAGGTTCTTTTAAAATGGAACTCACTTGAAATTCCCTTATTCCCCAGAGCAGCCAAACTCAGTTCTATCAGTAACATAATAACTATTAATAGGCAAGTTTCAAATGGTGGAAAAATAATACGTTGAATATATGGGAAGTTGCTAGGCTTGCCGTTTAAAACTGAGGATGACAATTAATTTTCAATTAATGAAGAATAATACTTACATCACTTGCTGTCTCCACACCTTCACTATTTCCTCCTTAAAACTTTGATAATGCGGTTTTCTAAGATTTCCAAACTGTGACTTGTTTGTCTAGCAACATGTTTCTTTAAATACACTGCAGATTGTTATGCTAATTTCCTGTTTCTGCAGAGAGGATCTATTCCTGCGCATCCCTTTCTAATTTTAATAATCCTGAGGTTTACATCAGGCACCCTGTGGTTTACAATACACACAACTCCACGTGGCTGGTGGCCCCACTGCCCCTTGGATGTTGTTTGCACTTTGGTCCACGGTGGAAGTAACCTGTATGTAACAGTTAACCTTTGGACCTACCCAACATTAGGGTGACTGCCAGGCAAAGGCAACCACGAGTGTCTGAAATCACCCAGGATGAGTTTTCCTTTCCAATTAGAGGATTAAAAGAAATAAAGAAATTGGAAAAAAGGACTGAGTTAAAGTGTAATTTTATGGAACAAGGGATGCTTATGTGATTAGAGATACTGTTTTTACTAAAAGGAAACTTTGCACTGAATGTTTAAAACTTAAGTAGAAATATGGGGTGAATTTTACAGAAACAAATTTGAGTCAGTCACAGAAATGTTATGCTAAGTAAATAAAATAGAAAAATTCCAAATCCCTCTTCTAAGTAGGGCAAGCCCTTCCCCATTTCCGCTTGCTGACTCCTTTGGAATGGTTTCCATCTGGGCTTGATCCTCATCTCTCACCTGTGGAATTGGCCCTGTCTGAAAGGGACATGGATGTGCCAATGGGCCATGGGCTGCCCGGGTGGTAGAGATGACTGCGAGCTGGAGAAGCGAGGCTGCTGGAGTGGAAATGATGGTGAGGGTGATCGAGGGAATGGATGGGATGGGCACTAATCACAGCTGTGAATGAACACAAGACAGAGAAATGCTTAACACGCTTGCACAAACACACACAAATCACAGTTCAAGAGCAAAGTCACCCCCTTCCCACCTCCCATACAGTCCAACCACTCCCTTGGGTTTTTGGTGGCAGCTGGCTAGATCTTGTCAATTAGCCATTGATTTTTACATTTGTTTTTTAAAAATGAACATACTCTTTTGCATATGTCTACATATGTATAGAAAAAAAGGTCTGAGGAATACATACTAAAATGTTAACAGTGATTATCTTGCAGGGAAGAGTGGTCAGGATTAAAATAATATTTTTCTTTTGGCTTATCTGTATTTTCCAATTCTACTATAATAAACATGGATTACATGAGTTATTACAAATATCTATTTGAATATGTCACAAAATATAAATCCATAAGCCAACACATAAATTGAGTTTCTATTTTGTCCTGCTAAAAAGGATAGAAAGAAGTCCCTTCTTTTTCGAGTATATTCCTAATTCATTCTGCCTTTGTTAAACCTGCTGAATTAAGCATTTAATGGGTATTTAGGCCAAATAAATAAGTAGCTGCTTAATCAGCTTTCATGTCTTAAAATAAATGCAAATGGAATTGAACTCTGATGGTCCCATCTAGTACTAAAAGCATGAATCACTGGCCGATGGCACCATCTTTTACTGCTTCTAGTCTGGGGACTCAGCCATACCCATCTGCATTTAGGAGAATAAATGGCTCTTTCCTTCTCACACTGGTTAAGGATTCAATTAACTGTGTTTAGCTAAAGAATCTGAAATTTCCACACATATTTCACATATTACTTTCTATGAAGACAGAGATTCCATGTACAACTTTCTATGAGGCTTCATTATCCATCTGAGATGGAAACAGATAAAATTAGAAGACCAGAGTCTTGGAATAAACTTTTCTGAGGAACTCCCTTGGAGTGGTTGTAGAAATGGTGCTTTTAAGGTCAAGATAACCAGCTCTACCCCCACCAAACAGGCAAATAGGCCAAAGCTTACTAGCAATACAGGGAATCTTTTTTTCTCTAAACAAAGGCTTCGTGAACTTAATAATACAATTTACTTAACACTTAGTGGCCTATTGAAATGTCTTCTGTCCCCAGGGATCTCCCTAAAGTCTTTGTGGGGCTATTCAACATTACTCTGCTGAAGAGAAATCCTGGTCAACAAAACAGATGCCTTTACTTTCCAGCTATCCCTTGTCCTGGCCACATGCAAGCAAGCAGGTGGCATGACTGGGACCCCTGAGCACTGCTGCCCCTTCCTTCCCTCTCAAGGCCTGAGGAACAGAAAAGGGGCTTTTCCTCAGGTGCTGCTCTTGGGGACCAGAGGCTCCAGGTTGTGCCTGGGAATAAAACACAACACAGGAAAGCTGCCTGAGGAGGGCTCTTGGGGTAACTGGGGAGTCGGCAACTCCTCTAGGGGAAGACAGGTAGTTTTTAGAAGTGGGTGCTTCAGACTCAGTGTTTTCCAGAATTCAGGCTGGGGTAGGGGGAATAAACCTGATTTTTACCTAGAAAAGTACAATTTGAGAGCATTTTAGAACTCTCACAAAGGAAAAACAAAATTGACTTTTTTCCCTTTATAAGGCATTTCCAGTCTTTCTAGGTAAGTAAAAAAAATAAAGCGGTGTGAATGTGCTTGCCTAGGATATAGTAGGAAATCAGAAGCTTGTTAGCGGACTCTGAACTTGATACTTTGGTGCATGGCCCTGGATGGAGCCATGTCCCGGCACCAGCAAGCCCTTCCTGGCACTGCTCAGTCATTTAAGACCAGGGTAGGTGGGTGGTAGGTACATGGCTCCCGTAGCATTCCAGGGTCTAGAGCTCAGGGAATACCAGCTTGTGAAACAGAACTGTAGTCATGTGGGTTTTAAAAACAGTATCTGAAAACCTAAACACCATAAGTGGATCTTACGGTTGCAGGTTTTTGAAAGATTCCACTTACCCACCCAACTGTTAAGGCACAAATTAAATAATATTGTATATTGGTGCAAACTCCTTCCCCAACATCAAAAAAAAAAGAAGAATGGTATCAACCGGACAACAGATCTTTTTTACTTAACATATTTAAAAGTAAAATACATCTAGAAATAAAGATAGCAAAATTTTAAAAGTTTTCAAAATAAGCCAGTTCAGGTAGGAACTGAAGTCTTATACAAAACAAACAAATAAGCAGTAGTGCTAGCATCTTCTTGATCAATCAGAAGCAACTAGAATGGATTAATTTACTCTTCTTGGGCATTTGTATCTTTAAACCTGGGAACCCCATCCAGGGCACCTCTTACAAGAGGGAAACCAGATTTCCCCCCGCATGTTTCCAAGTCCAGGCCTTTCTTTCCATCAAGGACCACAAGCATAAGCTACTCTGAGCTGAAATTACCTATTAACAAATAAGGTGTTACTCTTTCAAAGACGATCTTTGTAATAATCTTACACGTTTGTGTATAGTGTTTGTGGGAGAGGGAATGGGTGTGCGGACATCCACATGCTTGGAGCTTCCACCAAGAGGTTGGGGATTTGAGGAACTTTTCCAAGTGCACGATGTCATGATGCACCTCGTTGCATGTATGATATTCATGGCTATTAAATCTCATCATTTGTTGACAGATGGCTGAGAATTCCCTCAACTGCAAGCCCCACTGTGCTAGCTAGTCTGAAAGGCTTCATTTCCTTGAAAACAGTGACAAGAGAGAGGACACAGTAGTTTGAAAGATTTGGTTTGTCCCACTGCTTTCTGGTTTAGTCATGATATTTAATTTATTTTGAATTTCAACTAGTATTAAAAGAGGCTCAGAAACCTTTATGCTTATCAAAGTGAGGCACGAATCAAGAATGAAAAATGTTGTTTAAAAAATTCCGGCTGGGTGGGCATGGTGGCTCATGCCTGTAATCCCAGCACTTTGGGTGGCTGAGTTGGGTGGATCACCTGAGGTCAGGAGTTTGAGACCAG